TTGGCTAATTTCAGAAGTGCTCCTCATAAGCACTTTTTCTGTAAATTGAGACAACTTTCTCTACATATTTATTTCGTATACTGTAAAAATATTTGTGAAACTATAATTTTGTTCTTACTCAAACACCCCGTATATCTAATATGTTTTTAATAACAAACAATCCGTACGCGCATAGACCTGGGAAAGAATGGGTGGTGAACGAGGAGACTCGAAGATAAGCGATCTAATCGATCAAGACGAGAAGATTTTGGCCCAAAAAAATCAAGACAAAAAGATAAGTGCTGATTGAGTACGGATAAGTTCTGTATAATTAATTAGCTAATTTAAGTATGTTAAAAAAATTAATTAAGTTATTTATAATAAATATGTGCTGTCTTATTTAAAATATCTTTACTAATCAAATGTTATTTGATTAAATATTTAACATGTATAACTACTATAAAGATTATTTCAAAAAAATAGATAAATATAAAAAATAAAATTGATTAAAATTTTATATTTAAAACTAAATTAAAACTTAAACTAACTCTTATATTAAGGATATGGGATAGTATTAAAAGATAATCATATGAAATGATTAATGTAAATAAGACTCCAGAAATGTCAGGCCGCCCCAAACCACGCACCACATAGCTAAACCAAACACCAAAACACGACAAATCCACATGTCAAACCGTTCACATTTGGTTGATTTCTCCATGAATTGACCCATACTAACCCTCCAATAAATTTTAGAATTATTTTATAAACATTAATTATTGAGTGAATTAGCATCAATTGATTATTTAATTAATTAGCTTTAAAATAAATATTAAGCCTTGTCCCAAGAAAAATATCTAGCCCAAAATAAGTTGAACATGTTTAAATCCACGCAAGAAAGTGTGTACTTTTTATACAGTTTTTAGATAGGCATGATTTATTTACCAGATATACTTAAAGAATATATATATATAAATAAGTATATTATGCGTTAATGATCTCTCATTTCTTTTTAAGAGAAAATTATAATGAAGTCTTAAAAAAATAAAATAATTATCAAGAAGTTCCAATGAGAAGTAAGCAGTTGTTATTTCTTATACAAAAACTTGTCATTGCAAATTGTTCTGTTGTCATTAAGATTTTTTAGCAATTATGTTCATCCCTTGGGATTTCATAACAATTCTCCTTCTTTTTTTTCAACTTTCTTTCTACTTTTTTTTTTCAATTTATTAAGGTAAAATTGTCTTTTTTCAACATTTACAAATGTCAAATTAGTATTTATATTTTGATGTGAGATTTTGCGTTTCACTAACACTAATTTAGAGTTTTATATATTTAAGGGTGTTTTCTGTTTTTTTTAAATAAATGAATTAAATGATTTATTAGCTTTTTCATTAAAAGAATATTAAATGAGAGCAGGGTCAGTTTGGGATTTGCATCGGGTGTTCATCAGTTTTGATGAACACCCAATACTCATTAGATTTCGGATCTGATCTAGATGATTCAAATTTAATGTTATTTTTATTTTTTAAAATGATTATTTTAATAGGTATAGGATAAAAAATAAAAATAATTCTTAATTATGATTATTTAAAAATATAATTTTTTTATTTTAAAATATTTATTTAAAAATATTAAATCTGAACCGTCCAGATTAAATCTAGACAGCCTAGATTATTCATCAGGTACTGGGCCCAGATTGCTCAGGCTAGTACCACCAAATGCGGACCCGCCAGTTTGGTTAGGGGAGCTTGGCCAATGGCCGTGCATTACGTCATTTTGTTTGCATCATCGATCCTCTGGTCGCTTCTTTCTTTCGTACAAATCATTCAATGAGTGGGGTCTAACAGTTATAATATACTGTAAATTATATTATAAAACAACCTTTACATTTAAAATTGAAGGAGTATAATTTTTATGAACGAATTTATTTTTTTCCTCGATTAATTCACCTTTTTTTAAAGTTAAATAAATACACTTAATCGCATTGTCATATTAAGCAGAAGACCCACTTTGTTGACTCGTAAATTGAAGAGATTTTGGGCACTTCATCGAGACATCTTCAACCTTAATCATGTGATCTAGACCTTAAAAAAAATGTGTCCTGTAATTTACACAAATGATTTTGTCATCTCAACTAACATTCCCTCTGGCTGTAGGATTTAGTTGAGAAGTGTTTTGATCTAAATATTAGGCTTCAGTTCATTTTATCTTACAATTTTATTGATTGCACACATCTTACAATTTTATTGATTGCACATATCGTTAATGAGAGTATTCTCTGATACAAATAATTAAAAATATTTAACTAATTAAGTATATATTTATTATAAATAACTAAGAGCATGTTTAGAATAACTTATAAGTAACTATTTAATTGTAATTTATGCAAGATGAGGTATCTCTTGGTTCTATTTATAGGATATAGAGAAAAGATATTTTTTTATAGATGTACAATTTTACTCATCATTTATTATTATGTTGATTTTGTTTACATAAATTTTTTTTTTGCAACAATGTTTACATAAGGTATAATATATACTCCTCCGGTCCTAATTATAAGACCCAATTGACTTATTTGAGGAGATTAAGGAAGTAAGTTAAGTTGGTTATTTATAATAAATAAGTGTTGTCATTCCTAAAATATCCTTGCTAATTAAGTATATTGGCTAAAACTATCATTATTAGAAGGATTATCTTGGAAAAAAATGCATAAATATAAGAGACAAAATGGATTGGGTCTTATAATTAGGACCAAATAAAAAGTCAAACTGGGTCTTATAATAAGGACCGGAGGAGTATTAAATAAGGATAAAGTTAAGAAGTTATTGAATTTGAAATGAGAGTTAATGAAGTTTAAGGTCTTCACTGGTCTTTATGAAACATATTGAAAGTGATTTATAAAGAGAATCAGAAAAGTAAATATGTGATAAAAATTTTATATGTAAAACGTGTTTATCATTGCCAATCCAAACCAGTTCTGACTAAACTAATTTTTTGAGTTTCTATAAATTAATTATGTAACTCCTGCATTTATAGCTAAAAAGATTATTACATGTGAAACGTTAAAAACACCCTAGTTTTCATGTGGCACATGAAATTTGAAAAGTAAATCACGTTCCCAGTAGTTCATGAAAAATTATAGATTTTTTAATTTATATTGAGTGGGGTGAAAGGAAAAAGTAAAACAGAAGTAGCATATTCCATTATTGCGACACAAATGCTCCTCTGTCGCCAGCATATTCCTTTTCTCCTATAACCGACGTCGGTATTGTCACTCTCGTCGAAATATGGCAGCATATCTAAACACTTATAGTTTATAAAATATAAATAAAAAATTATTATAATTATCACATTTCTCAATGACCAAACATTAATCGTTTTAAAATTTATTATTAAATTTTGAGAAATTAACAAAAAATAGTGATCACTTTCATAAAATTGTTTAGTGACAATTTTCGTAACATATAGTAATAAAATTTCTTAAAATTTGTCACCTCTAAGCCTTTCAAAATTATGGCAAAAAAAAATCTTTCAATCTAACATTTACAAAAGTAAGAAGCAGCCCACTACGTCTAGAATTTAATAATACTCCTCATGTCTTAAATATAAAACTCATTATTACCAACATATATATAAGATTTATTTTATAGTATAAATTATATTTTAGAATAGGTCTTATATTCAGGACTGTAAATTTGTAAATAAATTCTATTTTGATTTTTGAATTTTGATAGATTCCGTTAAATCAGTTGAAACATTAATTTACATTTTCTATAAAAAAAAAAATACTGAAGTGTAATGTAAGACTTCCCCAAAGTCGAACTAAACGAAGTTGCCATCGGTTGTTATGCTATTTATTAGTTTGAAAGAGACGTTACATATTGATGTCAAAGATAGCACGCTTGAATTCCCATCATAAACCTGTGTGGACTGTATTTTTAAAAAATAAATCATACAGTTTGTAATTTTAAATCTTTCTTAGGATTTTTATAGCATTATACTCCCTCTAGTCCATTATAAGATCACCGTTAAAAGAAAATTACGGTTTAAAATATATTGAATATAGGAGAGACATGACGGATAATAAAAGTGTAACATTAAATACAATTTTATTACTCCTTCCGTGTCTTTTTATAAGTAACATTAGGTTCTACTACATAAACCAAAAAGTTAGTACTTAAAGATAATAAGTATGTAAAAATTAAAAGTTCTTTATCTAAAATATCCTTATTTATGGGGGAGAGAGAGAGTATAAGAAAGAGAATAAGAAAATTATTATAATAAAGAAAACTATAAAAGAGAGAGAATGTGGGTGGAGAGAGATGGTTGCGCGGGAGTAAAATAATAAACATACTGGATATTAAAATAAGTAATTAATAAAGTAAAATAAGAAATTTATTACAAAAATTTAAAACAACTTACAAATGTTATTTATATTTAAAGAAAAGAGAGAGATAATAGTTGTTACTTATGAAAAGGGACAGATGCAGTATTTTTTAAAGATAAAATAAAAAAATTCTATTATTTTGAGACAAACTTAATGATTCAATTTCTTTTTTTTTTCTGTTTGATATATAAGAAATGTTAACTAACTTTTTGTGCTGCGAATCGTAATCGAAAGGAGTAGTTATTTTATTTTTCTGCGCTGATTTTCTTGATTTTAACAAGGAAAAAACGGGAGTGGATATGTTGAACATAAAGTGGACCAGAATACGATAATAAGCCGGGAAAAAATGCCTTCTTCTTTCTTCTTTCTTTTGTTTTTTTCCCCGGCCACCTGGAGTGGTGATGTCGTTTTTAATTTTATTTGATTTAGCTATACATCTGATCTTCTGTTGATTTATTTTTAGATAATAAAATATTAACCATGCCACGTGTTTAATGGACAATAACTTAAAAGCATAAAACTAAATTAAAACGACAGCCTCACATTTCAATGAAGTAAACGTCAACGCTGTTACAGTTTAGACATAAAGCAAGCCTTTCAAGCTTTCATTCACACTTCACAATAACTCTTTTAGTAGTGATATATTCAGATAACGTCTTGCAAAGCCTCTTCCATCCTCTTCTTGTGCAGCGTGTCAGCAACCACGCCGGAGCACCGTCCATGGCTGACCCGGTTACAATCTCCGCTTTCGTCGCCAGCTGGTTCACGCCTTCTTCTCTCTTCCTCTTTCTCAACTTCGTCATCGGCACAATTGTCATCTCTTCCCGTTTTGGTACCACCACAGAGCCTTCCGACCACCACCACGATGGCCACCCACCTCTCGTTCGTTCATCGTCCCTGCTTGAACGCTTTAGGTCCCTCCGTTTCCACAAACACGACGCTGCGTTTCCCGGACCCGAGTATATTCAGCCCGTTCATGACTATCCTCAGCTCGTCAGAACGCCGTCACTGATCGAGCGAGTCAGGTCGTTCAAATTCGGGTTTTCTAACAACTTCGACCCCACCGGTGCGGATACAGTGTCTGTTCAACCCGATGACACGCCGGAACAGCCAACTGAACCGCAACTGGCGAGAACTCCTTCGCTCCTGGAGCGCCTCAAGTCTATGAAATTCTCGTCTCTCCACAGATCGGACTCAATAAAAGCGGCGGGAGAAGGACTTGAACGGGAAGCTGACGTTCCGGAGTCGAAAGAGGATCGTGGTGCGGATAACTTGGTGAGGAGGAGCAAATCGGAGTCGAGTAGGAGGGAGACGGGAAAGTCACCGGAGAAGATGAAGAAATCGGCGAGTGACAAAGCAGCGTCAAGGACGCAGGAGGAGGAGGAGGTGGATCGCCGGACACCAGAACCAGAGACGGCAAGGTACAGAGCAGGCATTGAAACGGCGTCGTTTGCGGAGGACGAAACGGTGGACGCCAAAGCGGACGATTTCATTAACAGATTCAGACAGCAACTGAGGTTACAGAGGGTGAATTCGTTCCTGCGTAGAGAGACGATCTGAGCAAACTGATGAGGAATGGCTGCGTGCGTGGAGCCCCACCGTAAGTCCCAGGGTAAAACGGTCCATACATCACCTATTCCGGCTTCATCACTGCCCATCACGACAGCGAAAGCTGCGCCTGAAATAACTAAAAGGCCCTTTAATTAGTAGTTTTAAGACTTTAAGCTTTGGAGGCGCCTGCTCGTCCCGTAGTGTTTATTTAGTCAGCAGTCAGTTTCACTCATATTTGGGGTGAAAAGGTAAAAAAGTACGTATCAATGTAAAGTTGCTTGCGTTAGTGAAAACGATTACGTCCTTGCATTTATATTACATTGCAAAGAAATAGATTTGAGATTTGTTGTGTTGCTTGTTTGGCTACAGAAGAGTAATTAAAATTGTAAGTTACTTCTATTCACTGCTTTTAAGGAAGAACATAAACGTCACAGGTTACTTGTTAAAGATCACTGGCTGTAAAAATGCTTATTCATATAATCTGACATTTTTATATATTTATCTCGTATTCTGTAAATTATGATTGAAAAGCTGATTTTAAATAATTTTACCGCCATTTCAAATAAGCAGGTTGTTCATATTTAATTTGATATCCAAAATGACATATGGGCTGTTATTGTTAAGTCCTAAAGTGATAATGGAATTGTTTATTATAGCGGCTTTTCTAGAATGAATTTTTAGTCTGTTTTATAAGACCTTTTAATAGTTTCAATAAGTATTAAATATTTTTTTCAGACATATCTATATTTAATAGAGGTAGTGACTAGTGAAATAGTAGAAATTGATATGATATTAAAATTTTAGTATAGTTAATGGGAGTAATAATAGAGCTACTTGAATTTTACAACAAAATTAATGCTTTTAACTGCTTTTGTTGATGCGTGTTGATTAATCAAGGGTTTTTATATAAATAATAAAGGGGAGATTTTGATATTTCGCAGGAAGAAGACAGAATTGGCGCATGGCTTGCTTGTTGGTTTCTCAATATCAAAGTTTACAGTAATGCTGCACATAGAATGTGAATGAAATGACGACTTGGAACTTACGCTAATTGCCTCGATCTTAAAGGGAAAATGAACTTTTTGAAGTGCATAGAAATGTGTTCTTCTTATCTTTAAAATAAAACCTGTTTAACTAATTTGATTAGATTAAAAAAATTAAGTTAGTTAATTATAAGAAATATGACATGTTTTTTTTAAATACCACAAGAATCTTTCTTGATATCATTCTTTTCTTACTTACTTGATTATGATTGAGGAAGTATCCATAAAAGTAATTTAAAATAATAATAAATATGATAAATAAGTTTCATATTCAGGACACAAATTAACTTAATAATTATGTCCTATATTAAGGACCGGAGGAGTATAAAGTAGGGCCAATTGCCAAGTTTAATTAGTTAGCGAATGTGGGTATGTGTAGTTTGGTGTTTGAGATTAGAGATTGGATCTTCAGATTTAGAGAATGATTGTCAAACATGTGCCAATCCAAATGAATTTCCCCATTATTAAACGTCCAAAAATATTAATGTCTCTCAATGAATTTGAATTTCCTCCATGTAGTCATGAATAATAATATGATTCCATATTTAGGTTCATGTGAGAAGTATCTAAACTATTGTCTTTTTAAACATATGATTTAACTGAGAAGGATTTATCGTTTATTCTATACTGTCGATAGAAAATACTTCTAAAAATTCAGAAAAAAAATTGTAATTGAAGGATACAGTTAGGTGGGTGAGTAGTTTGTTTTTATTTTTGCGATAAAAAATAAACTATTGTAAGGCACGTGTTAAAAATGATGAAGTGGGGACATAAAGCAGAGGGATTAATTGTTTATAAGTTATGCATAATACCACCTCAGGTTCTTAATATAAGAACTAGTTTAACTTTTAATTTAATCTTAAATATAAGACATTAATTCATTTTGTCTTTCATAGTCATCCATTTTTTTCAAAGTAGTAGTTGCGTATATTAAATATTCTATCAAATGGTAGTTTTAGCTGATATAAATAATTGGTGAGAGTACTATAAGAAAGATAATACTTGTTTATTATAAATAACTAACTTAACTAATTTTTTTAGTCTCCTCAAATTAGTAAACTATGCCTTATATTACATCGAGTTCTTAATATATGAGTTTGTTTGACTTTTATTTTGGTCCTAAATATAAGACCCTGATTCACTTGGTCTCTCTTTTGTTTTTCAAGTTAGTCCTTGTAATAATGGTAATTATAACCAATACACTTGATTAGTAAAAATATTTTAGGAAAGACAAAACTCATTTATTACAAATAACTAATTTAACTAGTTTTTTTAATCCACTCAAATTAATCAATTAGTGCTTATATTAAGAACATGAGGTATTATAATTTATTGATCAAATTAATTGTCGATAATTATGAAAAATATTTAATTAGACTGCAAGAAAGAAAGTTGGATCCACTTTCTCTCTTGTTTCTGTATCTGGGGTTGGGCCGTTGGGGGCTTGGGGCAGACACGCAGAATGAAGAAAAGTTAGGTTTTTTTTTTTTGCCCCTTAAAATATCTGTCATGTTCATTTAATTCTCTTTGTGAATATTCCATGCAGTCATCATTTAATTCTTCTAAATCTTGTGAGAATGAAGGGATAAAGAAATGATATAGTACTCCTCCGGTCCTTAATATAAGACCCATTTAACTAATTTGATTAGATTAAGGAAGTTAGGTAAGTTAGTTAATTATAAGAAATGTGACATGTTTTTTCTAAAATACCATAATCAACTTTCTTAATATCCCCTCTTCATCTTCTACTTGATTATAGTTGAGGGAGTATCCATAGGGGTAATTTAGAGAAAATTGATAAATATGAGAAATGGGCCTTATATTTAGAACCAAAACCAACTCAATAATTGGGTCCTATATTAAGGACCGGAGGAGTACTAAATAAGAAAGTGACATTTGAATTTGATGCTTATTTATCTTTTTTTGGGTTTAGTTTAGATTAAATATAAATATTCAAGCAAAAACATTACATTTAAATAATATCAGTTTTATTTTTATTTAAAGCATGATCTCTTTTAAGTTAATTGGTGAAAAATAAATACTCTATATGTTTTTTTAGATAAAAATATAAGTTATGTGTATAGTCTATAGATTTGATCTAAACAATTTAAATCAAGAATAAGTGCATTACTCATTTCCTTCCTGAATTCCGAATCCAATTTCAAGAGGTCAAACATCATAGTGGACTTTCCTAACTAGAAAAAAAAAGAAAGAATAAAAAGCAAGTAGTTTTCTTTAATTTTTTTTTTCCCAGACCCAAAAAAAGGATTTTTCAGGCGACTGCTTAAAGTCGAACTAGAATCTCGGTGTTTCACTACAGTGAAAAAAATCCACCCCCACGACACACACAGTTGCCTGTGAATATGATCCAATTCCTAACATCTGAATGATTATTGTTGGAACGTGTGCACGTGGTGATAAATTTCCAGTTACTACTAAAATTTTGAGACAAAACGTCACTTAGAAATTAGGAATAACTTTTATGTAATATACTCTTATAATAAATGAGAAAAAAATAGAAGAAGATGTAGATAAAAATGTGATGAGAGTGCGAGGCAATGCAAAGAGAATAAATAATTAATAGCGAAATTAAAATATAGGGTTAAGGTGCATTCAGCACTTCGAAATATTTTCTTAGGTATGTCTAACATCCTAAAATATTTTATAGTGCATTCAATATCTCCAAGTATCTTTTATGAGTACCCAGCACCCTGAAGTTTTTTTTTTTGCCTTGATGCTGGATGTACAAAAAATGTTTTTGGGCGCTTGACGCACGTAAAAAAATATTTTGAGATACTAGATATACCAAAAAAAATACTTTACAGTGATGGACGCACCTAAAAAAATACTTCAGGATGCTGGATGTACCACAAAATATTTTAGGATACTGGATGCACCTGAAAGAATGCTTCGGGGTGGTGGATGCACTTTAACCCAAAAATATATATTCACTTTTTGTAAAAAAAATTAAAGCTTACAAGTAGAAATACACCTCCAGTTTTTAATATAAGATCAATTTAACTAATTTGATTAGATTAAGAAAGTTAGGTAAATTAGTTAATTATAAGAAATGTGACACGTTTTTCCTAAAATATCATAATCATCTTTTTTAATACCCCTTATTCCTCTTTTACTTGATTATGGTTGAGAGAGTATCCATAAGGGTAGTTTAGAAAAAATTGATAAATATGATAAATGGATCTTATATTTATGACAAAATTAAGTCAATAATTAAGTCTTATATTAAGGACCGGAAGAGTATAGTAGAGGATCTTTTCCACTTTGCAAACAACTGCGTTCATATAAAAATTCGAAGTCGATGAGCAATATGGCCATATTCTTTTTCTCAATTCACAGCATGTAAAATTAATTTTTAAGGTTGAATGTGACGGTCCATAAATCCAAACTCAATTTAACAAACCTGTACTTCGGGTGTGTTTGGATGAAACCAAACCGTGGTTTGGAAAAGTGATTCTGGAGAATAGATTCTGAGAAGAATAGATTATGGAAAGAATAGATTTTATGAAAAAGTGATTTTGAGAAGTGAGAGTGTTTGGATAGTTGTTATCAGAAACACTTTTTATATATACAAATTACTAAAAAAAGACATAAGTTAATATGATAATTACAGAAAAAATAGATTTTATGATATATTTTAATTTGAAGGAATAAAATTGTTAATAATATATTTTTTATTAACATAATTAATAATACATAAGATAATATAATTAATAAATAATTAATATGTATATATATTTATAAAATATAAGATTAAATATGTTTATAAAAAAATATGTTTATAAAAAAATAACAAGATACATATCCTATAGCTCTCACACTCTCCCTTTTTTCTCCAAAAGCAAAATTTTTTGCTTTTTCCAAAACTATGGTTTTGATTTTTGGGTGGGTGTTTGGGTGATTTATTCCCCAAACACAGCCTTCTTCAACATTTAACATCACCCGGTTAAGGTAGTTAAGTTTAACCACTGACCATGCATCATAATAAGGTCCCAAAATAATTTTAACCCTAAATAACCAAGCTGAGGCCAATCAGTGACCGTAACTGGGGCCAAAGGAATGGATCTGAATGGCTCAAGATGCATGGACAAAAGCTGTATAAGTTTATCAGCCGTTTACTTCAAAAGCAAAGCAATATGGCTGAGTTTAACTGTCAGTGTAATACTCTCTTTATGCCTGGATTGGATTTCAGAATCAGGCGGCTGGGACCTTTTCCCCATCTTCTATGAAGAAAATTGCCTCTTTATCAGATAGTAATCGATTTAAAATTTATTACTCCTCCGGTCTTTAATATATAACATAATTATTAAGTTAATTTTAATACTCAATATAAGACTTATTTTTTATATTTATTAATTTATCCTAAATTATCCTTAT